GGGGGGGGTATTAACATGTTCTTATCCACAGTAGAATTGTAAATGTGCTGATTAATCAATGCCATGCTCATAAGATAACCCAGAATAAAAAAGAACTCCTATAACAAAAACAAAGAGAAGAGAAAAGAAAGACCAAAATAAAATTTAAAAAACCCCACCACTAACACCAACAAAACTACCTAAAACAAAACAAACCAACCAAAATAAACAAGAATATAATAAAAACAAAGGAAAAACCCCATTGTTCTCCTTTCATACAAATACATGTAATGGGGAATCGCAAAGTTCCTTAATATTTTGAACTTCGCGGATGCACAGGTTTAAAATGAAAGTTGCAAGCAAACCATAAAAATTTCGGTTACGACAACGGACCAATTGTTTTAATCTGTCTCGCAGTGGCAGACGGAGCCACCTTGAACTACAACTCAGTTTGGCAGAACGTGCTATGACAGGGGTCACCAAACGTTTTTCAAAGTGGGTCCGATAACTGAAAGAATGCCGAGTGCGGGCTGGATAACTACAAGTTCGATGCAAATACTGATGTGTGAAATTTTAAAAATGTCACATTAAAGTGTGTATAATCTTTACCATAGAGTTCAATGAAACGATAAGATTATTTTGGTGACCAAGTCTTGTGCACACGCACACTGCACACTGCACATTTGGCTTGGCGATCCCTGGGCTACGACGACAGCGTTGACAGTTGATAAACACATGTAACGACCATGAAATCTTTCGCTAAGGGTAGATAGATCTATAGTCTTACTCACATGAGAGTCACTAGGTTTCAGAGGGGGTAACACGACAAAGAGACGGTATTATTAATATCCTCGAACTTGTTTTCCCCAATCTCTATCCCCGGTATAATTTTTGTCCGCTGAGTTATGTGCCCTGGTGGGGGAAGACCAAGAGCTCGCCCTGCGAATGACCTATATTGCGTATGGTAAGACTTGAAACAACAACAACAACAACAACAACAACAACAACAACAACAACAACAACAACATCAACAACAACAACATCAACAACAACAACATCAACAACAACAACAACAACATGGGTTGACGTCATGGGTGTATCTAAAAAAAAATGGTACATGACAAGATGGTTCGCTCAGCCAGAAAAGTGTGCGCATTTGCGAAGAGGGCGCCACCGAATTTTGAGGACACTTTTTTAATTGGCTCAAAGAAATGAGTGAACCCTCTTGTTACGAAACATTAACATTGTCATGAAAACAGAACTGAAACTGAAAGGAATAGTTTAAATCTGCCAAAACGTGCCTTCCTTTTTCTTATGTTGTTCTATTATGAAGAGCTCGCTCTTCGAGGCTTCAGACATTTTGAACGGATAGGCTACCACACACACACACACACA